TTTTTGAAAAAGACCATCAAAACCATGTTACGCTACCGGAAGTTTCTCAGCCTTTGCAGCCTTGTCTTTCTTTCTCCTTTTCTTTCGTGACCTTCTCTCCGGACTGCGGGCGTCTCCCGACGAGAATCCAATGTCAAAGAGTCCCACACAACTAACGGCACTGAAGCACAACTTATCAAAAAAAATGTCAGAAAAAATAACATTACCTTTTCTTACGATAATTAACACAGAGATTCACAGCTAGTGCTAAAGCGATCACGGTTCCAACACACAGAATAAGAGCCAAATATCCAGGCACAAATAAGCCTGTCTCCTTTTTCTGAACAGCTTTTGAAGATCAATCCTTGATTTTCTGCCTCAAAAATTACCTTGACGGACTTGTCATCATAGCTTGGCATGGAAGACACCTAAAGCGGATTTTTCTACGGAAATCAGAATGAAAAGAAAATAGCCAACACTTACCGTTGTCATTTGGACTATATATTGAATGAGTCCGTATATCCCGAATCCAGATTTTTCTTCAGTTTCTCCCAAATTACCGTAAGCGATGTCTTGCTGCATTTGATGGTAAAAGTGCTGAAAGCAATGATATTCATTGTAAAACTTAACGAAGGAATTGCCAGAAGTTGTAGTGTCCATTGACATGAGATAGGTACCATTTGAAGCAGTTTGAGAAGGTGATTTTATTAGGTTGTCCGGAAATCAATGTCCTTTATGGATTTCAACCTCAATGTCATACTCTTCTCATTTCCAAGTAGGCTGTAATATACCATTCGATAGAGCAATTTAAGCTCTACAGATGGCAGTCTTGCTTTCGCACCGGCTCTGATCCACCTCGAGTTTTGAACCAAAACTATAGAGATTCAACTGTCCGAAAAATCGAGAAAAATGTAACTCAATCCATAAAAAGTTTCCGCCTCCTTGATTTTTTATCGAGGAAAAAATACGACAACATCCTGTACGGACGTCTTATGTGGGTACTGTATACGTGAGCAAGTTGAAATTTCGTAGATTTACTAATTTTTCTGGACTAAGATTTTCCTTGATTTTTTGAGAGATTGAATTTTTCTGGTTTCAAACTCAAGACTCCAAATGGATAAGAGCTGGTGTAAAAGCAAGACAGCCATCTTATAGACTTGCTGTGCTCTATCGAATGGTATATTTCAATCTATTTAGAAATGAGAAGTGTATACTTATAGCGGTTGAAATTTTAACGGACATTGGTTTCCGGACAACCTGATATAACAGCCTTTTTGTTTGCAGAAAGAACTTCGGTTGGGAGTAACTGATATCACTTCGCACGAAATTTCCGACGCTGAGATGAGCCAAGATATCAAAGCTCATTTAAGCTCATGTACTGTGGGCTCAAACATAGAT